ACATAAACACGTACACACACACATACACACACACACACATACACACACACACACGTATGCAAACCAATTGGCAACATTACACAAATACCATCACACATACAAATTTTGCTCCGGTGTAATATGAGTTCACGCCTTTCGTTGCACACATGTATATTTGTGTGCGGAACGTTCGCACAGATACAGACACACAGCTGCCAACCACACTACCGTATGTGCTTTGATTTCTCGAATCGCTTCCTCCTCGCCCAAGCGGCCACTCCCTCCATCCATCTTGTATTGAACGGGATAAATTGCAATAAACGTGGTGGCTTCGCCTTCCAACCGTCCGCATTCTGTGTCTCCCTCGTTCTGTGACTCATTCATTCTGACCATAGAGAAGTGTGTTGATTTGCGCGCAAGAGAAAAGAGAGGCACCAGTCATGGAATGCGCACATGTTGCACGTCTACCGAACTTCTCCCCCCCCCATCTCTACTACCCTCAGCCATTGTGCGTGCTGACTCATTCATCCCATCCAACTGTCCCTTGTCTACACGTCCTCGGGCTACAATAGACCTATGAGCGGTTTGTGCTTCTATTTTTTTTCCGGGCCCAATCCGATGTCAATCTATCTCTTCTCGCCTTCCAGTTGCCTCTAACAGTCTGATTCAGTCAATGCCTTGGAGTTTTTCCGTGTGAATTGAGCCATACCAGCTAACCGAGCCGCTGCTGATTCTGGTGGTGGTGGTTGTGATGGTTCTGTGATTGAATTGGGTACGGGATAGAAATGCGGTGTACCGTGCATCCGTTGTTTCCGGGGTTGAGTCAAGATCCCGGTGATCATGCATGATCGTAATGTTTCATCAAAATCTGCGGTCGATGATAGACACATAGTTGGGCACAATGTTGGATCGACCGATCGGTCAGAACTAGGTCGATCTTCGCGGATTAAAGCACCAGCAGATATTTTGGGTTAGGTGGGGTGGGGTGGGGGAGTTAAACATATTCTCTCTTCAATGGTTTATCTCGAACAGGGTCACATGATACTATACCGGTCAGTGAGTGAATGAATGAACTTTAAATGGTGCTGGATGGAGCGCAATAGCTAGCGTATGGAGCACAATGGGCACGAAATAAGTTCTGTCTGGTCTGCAATGAAATCATTCGTATCAGTTAGGTAATTGAGGCATCAGAATACAGAAACACTAATAGAAAACTGGAATTTGAATATTCATTCTAATGTCCATTTCCGCTTTTACGTCGGATTGCTCGTCTTTTGCCAGAGAAAAAAGCATTCCAGTAAACAATACCGAAACGGACATATGAAAGACCAAATCATGTCCTGATCCATTAGTTGTTATACTGAAGAACAGTTGGGAGGCAATTGTGCTAACTTGACATTGGGGAATGCTTCGGCTTTGTTATGGTAAAAGGTGAATGGTAACATATGGCGTCCTCGAGAAACCACCTTACAGTCGAAATATCGGACAGCCAAATTCGGACAAACGCAGGAGTTATCTATACATTTTTTTCAAGAATAATCATTGCGGAATAGGCTTTCGCCACATACATCACGGAGATTTCGTGGAGCTTTTTGTAGTGTTCGGAATCCAAAAGCGCAAACTCGGATTAGAACTGAAAACCCACTGAATAGTGCAAAGTCGGGTAGAACCAAAACAAACTGTGGACACAGTTCGGAAAATCATGCAAATAATTATCAGAAGCATCTGGTAATCATTGGTCTATTTTTTAATGCCCAGTCGACAACGATATGACTCATTTGGTTGCCTTCTTGCATTCAGCTAATCCGATTACTGCCACTTGAGATCACCGGATTGGTCGGGAAATCCGCTTCCTGATTGGCTACCTCAAAGCTGCACCGTGGTGCGTGTGTATTGGTTGCACGCTCACCACAAATTTCCTCCCTCATGAGTGCCTCATCAATTTGATTTACTTTTCGTCGTGATCTCCTTTGCGTTTAACTGGGTGAGCCTTCGGATTCCGCTGGTCGTAATTCATCTTCTTGTACAACATCATGACACTTGGGAATCGTAGCGCCAGATTCAGTTTAGGTTCATAGTTGCTAGAGTTATCCATTTCTTTTTTTGAATTATGATGACCCATAGCTCATTCCTCTCTGAAATGTATCTGGTCGACATGCTATCAATTGATATGTAGATCTTTTAAATCAGTTATTTCCACCAATGGCTGACCGAAGTTTCTGGTTATGATGCCACTAACAGGGAGCAGATCTTTGCCAATGAAGTATATCATGTCGGTAAAATCCATATATCTCACGAAAAACCTCAAGCACAGTGACCTAAACACGGTTGCTGGAATTTCCTTGGTAGTCACATGTGTCTTGTTTCGGTATTGCAATAGGAAGTTATCCAGAAACGCATCCAATTCCGTAATTAACTTCGGGTTCGCGGATGACAGTGCATTCTTAACTGTTTTCACAAAATGCTCCGCTTGACCACTAGAGCAGGAATTTCCTGGGGCTGTAGGTAGATGTTGATATCCAATGCTATCAAGCCAAGCTTCATCTCCGTGGCACTGAACAGAGAACCATCGTCTGTCACGAGCACCTGTAGTATACCTTCCCGAGTGAAGCATTTCCGGAGAGCCTGGATCGCGAAGGATGTAGGCATGCTTGCCCGAATACTTCGGGCCACTTTGAGTATGAACCAATAAGAATCAAGCTATATTAGCGATTCAGGAATGGGCCACAGAAATCCGCATGTACCCGTTGCCATGGTGTATAACTCTCCGGTCATGGAGTCCAGTTTTTTGGTCTGACTTTCACTTTGTGCAGACACGCCTCACAATTTTTCGCAGTTGGGCAGATGTCTACATCCAAATCAGGCTACCGACAAATTTGTCGAGCCAGAGATTGCATCTTCTCCACAGGTTTCTCTGCAATACCATGAGTTTTGCTACATAGCCATGGATTGCAATAGACTGATTTGGCGTTTCCAACACAGTATACTTCTCTCCAATAGACAGGCTCCTGCACATTGTAAGATAAAATGACAGTGACCTGGACTGTTGTGTATGTCGTCCTCACACAAGTTAAAATGGTAATGGATACATGCGAAGTTACATGTTTGTTGGCCTCCAAAAGCCTCATTATGGTCGGGGAAGAGTGTCTAGGGTTACTGATGTTCACCCTATCCTTGCACCTCGCGAAATGCTCCCATACGACCAAGCTTCTGGAATAGCTCCTGCTGAGGAAGCCCTACTCACTACCTTCTCGTGGCGGAGGTGTTTTCCCAACTAAGTGAGCGGACGAAAAACCGACATACGGGGCTATAACCGGGTTGGTGGACCACTGGTAGTTTACTTAGGGGAGTTGGCCAAAAACAAACAAAAACAAACCACATACATCTTCTCGGCTGTGGCAGTGGTCACCGGCTCGATTGGTCATCGAGGTGTATTTGGCACCTTGAACGTTTAACTCCGTACAAAGGGTGAATGATCCGATGAACTGGACACCAGTCCCTAATGGATTGCGGTTTTCACACACCGCCCTGCTGCCTTGTGTGTCAGGCTTTGGCTAGCCGAAGGCTCCGATTGTGGAGTCCTTAAGAAAATTCACCTGCCTTGTCCTGGGTAACCTGCAGTATTTCTCCCACATGCAAATCACGGAACATTTTTCTTTTTTATGAAGATTATTGTACCATGATTTGTTTAGCAAACAGTCTGGTTTCAGACGTGTGTGCAAATAAAAAGTAAATAAATGAAACATGTTTATTGGTCATTGGTCAACCCTTACAGCGGTAAACGACCAAGTAAGTATCAGAACCTGCGACATAGGGATTGGGAGACATCGTATGTCCAGAACCTACATATACGGTTGATTCGGGTTTGCTAAAATATGAGGACAATTTTTAGAATGATAATTCTCAAGAGTGCGAAATAATAGGAGACGGACCGCATTCATGTCAGAAAATGTGGTCCACTAGCCGGTAGAAACTTTATCGCTTAACAAAGCAACGAATTCAACGGATTCGGTATCCTGTCTGAAAGTAGTAAGTGTACGAGACTAAATTGTAAGTAAATATGTTCATGCAGTTATGCAGTCTACATCATGAAAGAAGAAAGTGACACTAGTGGGAGATCTTTAGCAGTCGTTGTCAATCCATCTCCTCGGAAACATAAATTTTCCAACCAACGCCGGGCTGTTCACGGAATTTATGCCTAATGTATACGGGAACTAATGTACAATGGCAGGTAAGTCTGGCTTGCTCCGTTTAACTTTACTTAACGCTGTTGGGGGGAAACGATATCTGGGAACAAAGTACACAGAGTATTAGAGGTGTTATCAGACAATGTTTGAAATGGATTCGCCTGATTCGGCGATTTCATGCAAAGCAAACATTTGGTTTGAGAAATGCAACTGTTAATTAAAGGTGTAGTCGATAAGCAATTATAATACAGTTTTCATATTTCAATAGATACGTAAGTGCATATTAGAATAGGGTGAGAGATGATAAAGCGATACCATTAGTTAATTATGTGTATTACATACACTGCGAGAAGTATACACGAATATATTCAGGGATATGATCAAACCGCGTGAAATGATCGGCTGGTAGAGGTTTACCGTAGACAACATTGTGTAATTATCTACTATCTACTCATGAGTAGTATATGAAAAGAACTCTCAAAATCTTGATGAAAAATGTTCATTATATAAAGAACATGAAACTAACAACAATAATATAGAAAATTATAAATTAATAAAATAATAAGGACAATAATAAAGTAAATAGTATCAAAAAGGGTGCAATATTTAACAAGGATACACCTATGTATACGTCTATGTATGCGTCTACATTATACGTCCATAATGTCATCCAAAATGTCATCCGGAAACGTCCGATAAGAAAAATTAAACCATAAGCTTTGCTGGACCTGTCACACAATTGGTCCCAAACGGATTGGTTTTCTTTTACCTGCAGCAGCGCAGAACACAAAAATCTCCACTCCTCTGATACTCCTGCAAGTGCATCAAATGCTCACGCACAAGTTTTTCTGTGGGAAGCAGTCCACGATCCTGTTTGCACTCAGAGAAAGCAAAACCTTCAATTTGGTTCAGTATTTTGTGCAAGTTAGAACGACCAGTTACACCGTCAGGGTCACACATTAAAACAAAAGCGCCTATAATTGACATTTATATAAGACCTGGAGAAAACAAAAGTATTATTTAAGATCACAAAAAAATAAATTAAATACTTTACAAGGGTTGTATTTGAACAAAAGCCGTCATGATGTCAAACATGGTGGGCGGAGGGGTATAAACGGTCAACATCCACCGATAACTGTCTGATATACGCGTGTGCATAACGCGTATTATCCTTTGAAAACACTTTAAGAACATGTACTGTAACTGGTTCGATATCGTGGCAGCGGTAACCTCGGAAGCTCGCTGTGACGGAACACGGGGAGTCAATATGGGCCAGCTCAGCAAACGCACCCAGATATGAAATCGTGGCGAAAAGACAGAGGCAGCGGAAGACACGTGTATTGTCACGCAGCAAGCGATTGCAATAAGTTTACATAATTGAGGGAGGGGGAAAATTAGTGAAACATCCGGCCGGTTTGGTGTTATCGGGGATGGAAACTGCGTCTTGGTGTTCGTTGATATCTTCCAGGTGTGTACATGTCTGTAAATAAAGCAACTTACACGTGGTCTGTTCAAATGCCCCGTTACAGTTTCGAGAGTGTTACAGTGCGAAATCACAAACAAATTTTGTATTGTGTCGTAAGTTATTTAGGGTGT